AAAAAAAAAAAAAAAAAAAAAAAGAAAAATTGAATTCCCCCTTTTTATCCTCTCACCAATTTCAGCTCTAAACATCCAATTTAAAACCCTAATTTTCCCCCCAATCGCATTAAAATCCCCGATCGGAAATGGGGTCGTTCATGAAAACGGCGTCGTTCGTCGGAGGAAATCGAGAGGGCGAGCTGAACAAGGAGAAGGAGGAGGAGGAGGAGGAATATACGGTGGAGGATTTGAGAGAGAGGATAAAATCGTCGAGAGAGAGCCATTTTCAGGTGATGGAGACCGAGCTCGGGCTGGTCCCCACCAATCGGAGGTTCAGCCGGCGAAGCCTCGTCAACGGCCTGAAGGACCTGTCGGAGGGCCTCTACATTAACCCCGATAGCAGGTACGTCTGTGTATGTATATGTTTATGCGTGTATCTGTACTGAAATTTACCGGTGAAGGTGAATAAATTAGGATGATAAGTTGGGAAATGTTATAGTCCTGTTACGGTACCATCTCGTCGCAACTACTTGTGGATCCAATGATTAAAACACCAACGGGATGGTACCTTAACGAGACCGTAGCATTTCCCTGATAAGTTTTTCTTTAAATGAGATTAGTTCTTTTTTTTTAATAAATAAGAATAGCATGAAATGTATTATTGAAATTTTGTGTTGCATTGAAATATAATTAGTAAAATAAAACTAAAAGAATATATTTTTGTTGTGTTTTGTGGAATCATATTTGAAAAGGAGAGTGGCTTATCAGAACAATAAATGAAATTATTAAATTTTTTAAGGCTAATTTGAAAAAAAAAAATAAAATAGGATTGTGTGTGTGTGTGTGTGTTAGTTATTTTACTTATTTGTTAAAGATTTTTGTAAGAGGTTACATGGGGCGTGGGCGATTGGCGATATTCCCGCCAATGAATATAGTGGACACGTGGCGAGAATCTGCTTGTCGTTGATATTTACAGTATATTTTATTGAAAAACCCATAAAATTTGTCGTCTCTGAGCAATTTTTATTGGTGGCAAAAACTGACTTATTTTTATTTTTTAGATTTATTATTTTATTCCTAAGATTTGCGTTTTTAAGTGAGATTTACTGCATAATTATTCAGTTAATAATGCAGTTTGAGAGAACTAATTAATGATAAATAATTTGGATATATTCGGGAAATTTCCTTATAGAAATAGTCATTTTCTATCAAGTCTTGAATATTTGTTCTCACGCAAAATAAAATGTAAATAATAATACACACAACTCATCATGTGTTAATTTGTACGTAATAGTGAGAATCGGTGTTACAACTTACACGGGACAAGATGATAATTAATGTTTTTTTTTCTTCTTTCGAAACGATAATTATATTTTTTAGGGAACCATTCCATCGGATTTTTGTAACCGTTAGATCATCATATAACCGTCAGAGATAATTGATCTAACGGTTACAAATCTCGACGGGATAGTTCAGTAACAGGACTGTACATCTTTCTATATTAAAATACTATCTACAATATAAAGTTATAAAATGATTCATTACCTTGTTTGATTCAACTGTCCATGTATGATGAAACAAAAGGGGAAAGAAATTATGTACACATGCATGCAAATTATTCCAATAATAAGTTTCCACATTTTATTTTTTGGTTCTCTATTTATGGTAGTGCATAACTGCATATCATTAGGAAGATTTTGAGTGTTCGACCAACACTAGTTTTTTTTATTTATTTAGTTAATTTATAACTTTTGTGTCCTTAAATAAATTCCGTTTTGTAAGATGATTATTTTCAAAAAGTTTGAGTTCATTGAGATACTTTTTTTTTTTTAAAAAAAAAATGCTAAGTTGACTTATCAATTAATTTTATTAAACATTTTATTACCACAAAATATGGATAATTTTAAAATTAGTCCTATAATTTGGCCACAGTCCAAAAAACCACTAGATATTGACCACTTTTAAAATTGGTCCTATAATTTCAAAGTTTAATCAAATTTGATCATTTTTTAATCACATTTTAATTCATTTTAAGGATAAAAATGACCAAATTTGATTATATTTTGAAATTATATGACCAATTTTGAAAGTGGTCAATATCGAGGTAGTTTTTTGGACTGTGGTTAAATTATAGGACCAATTTTAAAATTATGTCCCCACAAAAGATATCAATTATCATATTAAAATTAATATATGAGCTATTATCATTCAACTTATCAAATGTCCACTAGCTTTTAATATAGTAATAGACATTTTATTTTAGTACATTAAATTAAAAAAATGGTACAAGGTGGACAGCTAAAGTTTACCAAAATTAAATAATAGAAAATCTGATCATATGAAAATTTGACAAGTATATGCTATATTTTACGTGGGCCAGCATATATTATTTAGCTAGCAAAATCAATACATCACATGGGACGTGATCATATTATTTGCAGCGCCACAAGATTTGGCTGACTAACTTGCATATACGATAATGTTTTTTATATGTAATTTATCCTTATTACGTGCTAGAAAATAAAAGAAAAAAAAAAAAAACAAGTTGGCATATTCACATGAAACTGAATTTGGTCCATCTCGTAGCCTTTTTGTCCTACTTGCATAGCCTCAAGTGGTGAATAAAACATATAAAAAGAAATATATTTATTATGGTACCATTCGGTCGGTCGGGGTTTGTAACCGTTAGATCAAGAGAGGAGCCTTATTAGGAACAGTGTAGACCTAGGCTCACACTGAAAAAAAATAAAATAATATTACTATTAACTCATGTTACTTAATTTTAAAAAAAATACTAATTATGCCCTATGAGCCTAATAAAAATTGTCCAACTCACAAAGCTAAACTCCTTGTATTATGAGCCCAATAAAAATTGCCCAACTCCTAGACTAAACTCCTTGTATTACTATTAGCCCATATGAGACCAATAAATAAGCTTAATATAATATACTGATAAAACATTTAACACAATAATTAAACAAGAGAAAAGAGTGCAGAGATCACGCAGACAAATACAGAAGGAAACAAAAAGAGGAGAAAATAAGGAGAAAATGAAAAAGTCAAAGAGTTCGTCAATTTTTGGTCCAGCTGTACAGGAAGGTTACTTACAAGATAACAAAAATCTTTCTGTTTATTTTAGTAAAGATAAAAATTACTTTTCTTTATTTTTTAGATAGTGGTAAATATAGATATTTTTAATGGAAAAATTGCACATTCAAGCCCTTTTTAATATTATTTTTGCAAATCAGACATTGAGAGATATTTTCAAAAAAGCTCATGTCAACAAAATCTTGTGAAAATATCTAAAAAAAAAATACATTGAATCCAATTAAATTTGAGGGAAATTCTAGTATATTTGGGCAGAAAGAATGTAATACGAGAAATTTGGTATCAATGCGAAAATTAGTCAAGATGATCAGGCTTTATCCTCAAAACTTTTCTATATTCGATGTTCTCATTCTTGAGGATCAGTTGCAGAACTATATTGTTGATAAGAGCTTTGACCATTTTTGCATTTGTCCTTTTCATTATGTTTGTTATATTTTTAATTATGTAGTTAGGCCCCCGCTCACTATATTTGGTAGATCCGCCCCTGCGTTAGATCAACAATCCACGACAGTTACATGATGATCTGACGATTACAAACTCGACGGAATGGTTCTGTGACGGGACTGTAGCATTTTCTATATTTAAAACTATATATTTGCTGGAGTTTAAATTATTAAATTACCAATGTTAAAATTTGAAAATTATGACTGTAAATCCAATGGCAATAGTGAAAAATTTGATCCTACCGGTGAGGCAGTGCCCTTACCGGTTATTTTTATCATTGGATTAACACACGATATAGTCTTTTTACTGTTGGATAGACACACACCCATATGGGTCTGTGCGTGAGTGTGTGAGATCTAACGATAAAAAACTCCACATAGTTCATTACATAATTGACACAAAGCATAATTTCAAGAAAGATGCTAATTGGTAAATGGTATTTTTCTTTGCTTATAAGTCCTTAATAGTGACCTTCACAGAATCACAGTTCAAAAACTTTTTTGTACTACATACATATGTTCATTGGGATTGAACAAACATTTTGCACAAAATTTTAAATTTAAAAAATTAATTATATCAGTCTCATTTTTAATTTTCTTAAAGCAAGAAAAATCCTAACTCTTGAAGGAAAAAATGCAGATGGTACAAGGCTTGGGAGAATTTCATACTTATATGGGCAATTTACTCGTCGGTTTTTACACCAATGGAGTTCGGATTTTTTAGGGGACTGCCGGAGAACCTCTTCATTTTGGACATTGTCGGTCAAGTGGCTTTTTTGGTCGACATTGTATTACAATTTTTCTTGCCTTATAAAGACAGTCATTCGTACAGAATGGTTTATAAGCGTAACCTCATTTCTCTTCGGTATGATTCGTGCACAACTTATGCGTTCATCATCGTTTATCTTCACATTCTTAATCTCATTCTTTTTTTTTCGTCATTTGCAGCTATTTGAAATCTCATTTTATCCCTGACCTATTGGGTTGTATGCCTTGGGATATAATCTACAAGGTTTGTGTCTCTTGATCTTTCATCTCTTAAATCTCTGAATTTGTAAGTTTTACATAGATTCATTCTTTCAGTTCATTTTCTACTTTATTATGTATTATCTAGTAAGTTTTCTTCATTAAATCCTTTACAATTGAAAAGCATTTGGAAAAAATTTAAATTGGTTTCTATAGTCACCATATGTAGAATAATGCTCTGTTCAACCGATCATTTCTGCATAACCACAATTTGATCTGCATAAAAAATTAACTTCAACACGCTTTAGTTTAGGCTGTTGGGAAAAAAGAAGAAGTGAGATACCTTCTGTTCATCAGGCTGACTCGAGTCCGGAAAGTGACCACATTTCTACAGAGGCTGGAAAAGGACATCAGAATCAGTTATCGTTTCACAAGGATATTAAAACTCATTGCTGTCGAACTGTATTGCACTCACACGGCAGCTTGTATATTCTACTATTTGGCCACTACACTTCCTGAGGAAAAAGAGGGTTACACTTGGATCGGGAGTTTGAAGCTCGGTGATTATAGCTATGCACACTTTAGGGACATTGATATCTGGAAAAGATACACAACCTCCATGTATTTCGCCATTGTCACTATGGCAACTGTGGGTGAGTTCCATTATTTTTAAATTCATTTATATATTCTTACATTTTACTTTTTTGGAGTTATATTGAAATGGAACTTTGTTTGCCGTATTGCAAGTGAAATAGTTATGTCAATGCCGGTATTAGAAAATTTACTAGTTAATTACATTTTTGTCCTCTGGTACAGGTTATGGAGATATACATGCGGTGAATCTGAGGGAGATGATATTCATCATGATATATGTGTCATTCGACATGATCCTTGGTGCATATTTGATCGGTAACATGACAGCACTCATCGTGAAGGGGTCGAAAACAGAAAGATACAGAGACAGAATGACTGATCTCATCAAATATATGAACAGAAATAGATTGGACCGGAACCTTCGTAATCAAATCAAAGGGCACTTGCGTTTGCAATACGAAAGCAGCTATACGGATGCTGCTGTTCTTCATGATATTCCGATTTCTATACGTGCGAAGGTTAGAAATTACAGAAAACTATATGCATGCAAGGAAACTGATGATAAATTTTTATTATTTAATTGTGAGGTGCTAAATGAAGTAACTTGCAGAATTTTTTATAGTTGAGAAAGTGACTTTTACCTGAAAGTTAATTAATTCATGCAGATATCTCAGACTCTGTATAAGTCTCATGTTGAGAACGTTCCTCTTTTCAAGGATTGTTCATCAGAGTTCATCAGCCAAATTGTAAGTTGGTTTTCTTGAGCATCGAGTATTTTTGCCGAGGATGTAGAATTATTCTTCATCTAATTTTTACAGGGTGTTTGAGCAAAGTCTTTACGAATGAAGATATTATAAGTTGCTACATCTTAATGCATGTTTTGACAAAAAGGAGTCCAAATGTTTGGATGATAACACACACACACACACACAAAAATGTTTTATTTCTAAGTTGTCTTTTTGCCAGGTAACACGGGTGCATGAAGAATTTTTCCTCCCAGGAGAAGTAGTAATGGAACAAGGAAATGCTGTCGATCAACTCTATTTTGTTTGTGATGGTGTTCTGGTAAGGCTCTCTGCGTCACATTTAGTAAATAAGTAGAAATATTCACTATATGTACTTGGTATATTCTGATTAACTGAAAAATATATATCTGTTACGGGTCATGTTTCTCCTCAGTGATTAACCAGATTTGCATTCTTTGCAATCAATGGGGAATTAACCGGTAAAAGCCGAATTTGCAGGAGGAAGTCAGTATAGTTGCAGATGGATCAGAAGAAATAGTGTGTCATCTCGAGCGAAACAGCTTATTCGGAGAGATTTCAATCCTCTGTAACATTCCTCAACCGTATACCGTTCGTGTGTGCGCATTTTGTAGACTCCTCCGAATAGATAAACTGTCGTTCTCAAATATCCTCGAGATATATTTTCACGATGGACGTAAAGTCTTGACTAACTTGTTAGAGGTAATAATTAGCTCAATAGAGAATTACTTTATACATATATTATATATTGTAATAACGATATTTGAAATGTAGTAACGATATTTATGGCAGGGGAAAGAATCTAATCTTCGCGTGAAGCAACTGGAGACGGATATTACTTTCCATATAGGGAAACAAGAAGCTGAACTTGCACTGAGAGTGAATAGTGCAGCTTATTACGGCGATTTGTATCAACTGAAAAGCCTGATTCGATCTGGAGCCGATCCAAATAAGACAGATTATGATGGACGATCAGCCTTGGTATGGATTGCGAATTTGCGATCTTAAAATATTTTGTCGAAATTTAACATGCTCGATTTAGCTTACAGAAGGGGCTAATCGATTAATAAACAGACCCATTTTACGGCATAGAAAAGTCATATAAAAGAATCTCACTCATTAGTTTCTTTGTTTACCTACAGCATCTTACTGCATCAAGAGGATACGAAGATATTATTTTGTTCCTCATACAAGAAGGTGTAGATATTAACGCCGAAGGTAAACTAAATTTCCGTAGATAATTTTGATTTCATATGTAAAAAGAAAAAGCCTTACGGGCCGTGATTATTTTTTCCAAACAGATAATTTCGGCAACACGCCTTTACTTGAAGCCATTAAGAGCGGACACGACAAAGTTATTTCTGTACTGTCCAAAGAAGGGGCATTACTGAAAATAGACAATGCGGGTAGCTTTTTGTGCTCGACAGTTGCGAAAGGAGATTCGGATTTGCTCAGAAGGATTTTGTCCAATGGGGTTGACCCGAACTCCCGAGACTATGACCACCGGGCCCCACTTCACGTAGCTGCTTCCCAAGGTTTGTATTTAATGGCAAAGTTGCTCATTGAAGCAGGGGCAAGTGTCTTCTTAAAAGACAGGTAAAACTAACTCTTTGTTTTTCCTTACCTTCACTTCCTTTATTTTTTTTTTCGAACGATCTTTTCTATATATATGAAGTTGATTAGAGTTCGGTTAAAATATTATTGTTTTGCGGGTTGATTCTTACAGATGGGGAAACACTCCATTAGACGAGGGGCGAACGTGCGGAAACAAAAATATGATTAGACTTCTTGAAGAGGCAAAAACGGCACAATTATCCGATTTTCCTGATTCGTCTCTTGAATTTACAGGTACCTTTCGACTTGTATAAATTTGCCTTTTGCATGCTTATTATCTGCTAAACTTTGGCTGCAAATCATTTCATAATTTGTTGAATTTTACAATAAATTTGAAAAACTATTATATATCTTCAAAGTATCTCAAGTTTTTCAGCATGCATGTCATTAATAATATCCTTTGACACCTCTTTCTTTGTTTTTTTCGACTTACTATTTAGCCGATAAGTTGCATACGAAGAAGTGCACCGTTTTTCCTTTCCATCCATGGGATCCGAAAGAAGGAAGAAGAAAACACGGAATCGTAATGTGGGTTCCTCACACCATTGAAGAGCTTATAGAACACGCGTCGAGAAAGCTGGAGTTTTCAGAAGGTTCGTTCGTTTTATCGGAAGACGGAGGCATAATTTTGGAGGCGGATATGATTACGGATGGCCAGAAACTATACATGATCAATAACACAGGTTAAAAGAAATTCATTCTCGTCATTATTTTGTAGAGTTGCTCTGTTGTGTAAATATGTTTCTTGCTTGAGGTGAATAAATATATAGGTATAATTCAGATCCATTTACTAATGTTTGTCTTCATCTCTACAATCAGCAAGAAAATCCGAAATGATATGTATTGTATCATGTAAATGCCTAAACAAATTGATATAATAATGTGTACAAATCCAAAATATTTATATATGTATTTTATTTATATTACAATTATATATAAAAATAGTAAAATTCATTTCAATTTTTTTTTTTTTAAACTAAAATAAGTAAAATCGGTGCTGACCGGTTCAACCGGTCAAAGAATAGTTTTTTACCAGTTCCTATTCAAATGGCTTTTCCAATCCAACCGGTCCGGTCCGCTTCTCATAACCATAAGTTTATAATTTTTGCAATTAAAATAATTATATTATAGTAGAAGGATCTTAGGAGGATGTGTTCATTTGAATTAATTGTGAGTGACATTTTTAAATTTTTTCAAAATTCAAGGCTTTTTAAAAATTTTTGGTTTTAGTGGAATTCTCAGAAAAACTTAGATCTAAATGTGAGATTTGACACATGTAATTTGTGTTTGAAATTCCACAAATTTTAAAAAGTCCTCATAAATCACAATGTTAAATTAAATAAAGTTAAATATCTTAAAGAGTTTTTAAAAGCTCAATTAAGTACCTCAACATTTAAAAAATAAAAGTTTTAAAAAAGTCTAAATTTTTAAAATTTTAAACCTCTATAAATCCAAAATGATGAATACATCCCTTTTATTCTTTTCTGTCTTTTACTATAATAAAAAGATCACTGGAATCAGTTTCAGTTGTAGAAAAAACAAGGATTTTAGTCCTTTAGAAATGATTTATCCATTAATGTCCAATTCCACTTGCTCTAGTGAAACTTTCTTCTAGCTAACCTCTGCATTTTGGTGGCTCAGAATAACATAGGTCACGAGTTCGAGTCACTGAGGAAAAGAAATGAGAACACTACTGATCATCCTTGTAAAAAACAAAATATTCTAACACTCTAAGAGCTACATTTATTTGATCCATAACCCGCAATCGATACAAGATTTATCCAAGACGGAAAAATCAACTTCATGCGCGCGGAAATAAGTACACGTTAGGAAATTAAACGAACTTCTAGTCGAACAAGGCTACTATATATAGCAAATAAAAGTTATTTTCAGCAAGAAAAAGGGAAAAAAAAACAAAACTCTAGTCTTCTTGTGAACAATAGTTATATATTAGTTAGCTACAACACAATTAATCGCTAACCATAGTTAATCATCACGTGCTTCGTTATCAAGCTCCTCGTACGTGTTGAAGCTGTCGAAAATGCTTTTGTGCCGCTGCATTCGGGGCAGTTTCGACATTTTCCGCTTTGTCCTCCGAAAGATTTCCGTCTCCACCGTAGAGTATTGAACAAAGAGTGTCCCAAATACACCCCAAGAGGGGTGTAGAAGACATATGAAATGAGGTTTTTCTTGGAGTACTCATATGGCTTGAAAAATTGTTTGGTATATATGCTTGTAGAGTTTTGTGATTTAATGAAGAAGAGGATAAAAAAAAAAAGGTGGTTTGCAAGAAAATTGATTTTTGTGATGTAAAAAAGATGGGATAAGGCTACTTTTCTTTATAGTGAAATCAAATCATGTGGGGAACATATCTAAGTTCAAATTTTTATTCTTTAAAATATTGTATATGATTAAGTGGGATGCAAATGCA